AGCTCCCAGGCGCCACTCAGGCCGCGGCAGACCTTTCCTGCAGCTCCAACAAGTCCCTGAGGCCGTGGCAGTGTCCTTTTAAGGACGTTCAAGGCTGCCGTTTGCCAGCCCTCAAAACTCCCCAAACCCTCCCCTGCAGCTCCCAGGCGCCACTCAGGCCGCGGCAGACCTTTCCTGCAGCTCCAACAAGTCCCTGAGGCCGTGGCAGTGTCCTTTTAAGGAGGTTCAAGGCTGCCGTAAACTCCTCAAACCCTCCCCTGCAGCTCCCAGGCGCCACTCAGGCCAGAGCAGACCTTTCCTGCAGCTCCAACAAGTTCCTGAGGCCGTGGCAGTGTCCTTTTACGGAGGTCCCAGGCTGCCGTTTGCCAGCCTTCAAAACTCGCCAAAACTCGACAATCCCTCCCCTGCAGCTCCCAGGCGCCACTTAGGCCGCGGCAGACCTTTCCTGCAGCTCCAACAAGTCCCTGAAGCCGTGGCAGTGTCCTTTTAAGGAGGTTCAAGGCTGCCGTTTGCCAGCCCGCAAAACTCCCCAAACCCTCCCCTGCAGCTCCCAGGCGCCACTCAGGCCGCGGCAGACCTTTCCTGCAGCTCCAACAAGTCCCTGAGGCCGTGGCAGTGTCCTTTTAAGGAGGTTCAAGGCTGCCGTTTGCCAGCCTTCAAAACTCCTCAAACCCTCCCCTGCAGCTCCCAGGCGCCACTTAGGCCGCGGCAGACCTTTCCTGCAGCTCCAACAAGTCCCTGAGGCCCTGGCAGTGTCCTTTTAAGGAGGTTCAAGGCTGCCGTTTGCCAGCCCGCAAAACTCCCCAAACCCTCCCCTGCAGCTCCCAGGCGCCACTTAGGCCGCGGCAGACCTTTCCTGCAGCTCCAACAAGTCCCTGAGGCCCTGGCAGTGTCCTTTTAAGGAGGCTCTTATTTCTTTTTTGTTTTCGTTGTCTTTTTCTCGGGAACGTGCCACTGCTTGTTGTGACATGGTTTTCCCGATGGCATGTCATGCTTGACAGCAATGCGGCCACATGACAGCGATGACCAAACAACAGTAGAGCAGACCGGGCAACTGTGCGCATGACGCCGTGTCTGCTTGCTGACTTCACCGTCCTTGACGTAAAATTGATTGTTGCACACAGATCGATGGTCGATTCGCCCTGTCTTCACGTTGCTGTTCACAAGTCCATTGCAAAATGGGCACTGGTAAACAAAACTTTTTTTGCGACAACGCCGTCCCGTACCGAAAATTCGTACCCACAGACACCCCGATGGTTGATTTTCCCTGTCTTCACATTGCTGTTCACAAGGCCCTTGCAAAATGGACATGTGTAAACAACAGATTTCTCTGCCACAACACCGTCTTTCACTTGGAATCGCTTCCCGCAGGTTCGCCGATGATCTACTTCCCCTGTGCATATTCTGCTGATCACTGACTGCGCGCAAGCAGGACAGACATATTTGAAACTCTGTCCCCTCTGCGTTGCTTGTCGTTTCTTTGCCGGCAAAGTCTCCTCCTTGCTGGGCTTGCTGCCTTCCTGCCTTTTACCTGCTTGCAAGGCTCTCTGCTTTTCTTCGGCGTTTCCTGTCTCGTCTTTGCGTTGTTTTTCTTTTGGTTCTCCTTCTTGTGTTCTGGCCTCCTCCACTTCTCTTCTCCGTTTTTGTTCTGTGCTGGCATCCTCGGCATTCGCACTGGTCATTTCTGCCCTTTCGTCTTCTCTCCGTTGTTTTGCCTCCGGCTTTGTCTCGTGCGTTCGCGTGCCCTCCTCTTCTCTCTTCCGTTTTCTTTCCGCGATGGCAGCCCAGACATCGGCGATGGCGCGTGCCTTTGTTTCTTCCGCTGCCCTCCGCGCGACTTTCGCCTGCGTTGCCGCTACCCGCTGTACTGCTTTGCTGATGCTTCCCCGGGGAATGGGGCACTGCCAGCAGTTGCTACAGACTTGGTCACCATTACAAGAACGATGTTGCGCCAGCCAAGATTCAAACGCGCACGCTGCTTGCTTTACCTCGCAGACGCTGCATCTCCACCAGCCCCATGCTTTACTCGAACAATCTAGACACACTCTACCGCCCCTGCGTGCTCGTTTCCAGGCCCCGCCAGAAAATTTCTTTTCGTCCTTGTGCGTATTGCAAACACTACACACTTGTGTCTGTTCGCACGTCTTACAAATACGATAAAATGTGGCTTGTGGCCTTGCATGTTCTGTCTTGAATGCATCTTCCTGTTTCCACGCCGTGCAAGCCATGCATTGCCACAGCTGCTGCGCCTCAACGTGCCTACGAATGCATTCCTTGCATACTCTCGCCGCATCTGTTCGTTTCCATCAACCAGCCGTGAATGCAGACGCCGGCTTTGCTTCATTACATTCTTTGCATTGTCTTTCGTCTCGGTATTTCGCTCGCAGCGCGCTCCAATCCATTTTTTCACCACCCCAGAAACGCAACAGCAATTCCCGCCCTACTTTTGCCCCTTTTTGAAATGGTGCTGCAGGGAACGGTCGGTACACAAACAAACCATACCTGTCTTGGACCCGCGTTAATGCAATGTAAGCTGTCAATGGGTCGCCTGCTTCCCCAATGTGCATGTCCATGACAACGCCTTCTTTGCACGTTTGCCCTTGGGCTGCGTGGGCGGTGGTGGCGAACCCTGGAGCCAATGGAAACTGCTTCCGCGTGACACGGAGTACTGGCCGCTTCCGCCCCTTGTCCAGATACCACGGTTTCTTTTGCGGCGCTACGGGAAAAACGTTGTCTTCATCGATCCCTTCGACACGCCAGGTGGTCTTGGTCTTGAACCGGACCAAGATGCACGCCGGCAACTCGTTCCAAATCTGCGTCGCCTCTTGACTCGCCCCTCCGACGGCGTCCGCATGCCAGACCCAGCCAACGATTTCCCCAGCACAACCACGTAAAATTCCACGGCTACGATCCAAGTGATCTGCGGCAGCAACTGGCATACCAATGCACAGCGGGAAAACACCATACAAGGACCCACAGTCCTGATCGTGGCGCTGCAGCCATGACAATTTTTCTTTGCCCAGATCTGGCTTTTCGCGCAAAGCCGCGCTTGATATCCTGTCTTTTGCAATGGCATGGTGCAGCACCTGCCCTGTTTCTGCGGCCCAAACTTTGGCTCGCAGTTTATTCACGTGATACTTCACGGCATTTGTGGCGAAAATAGCCTTTGCCCCAGCGAACTTCGCAGCGGCCGAGATGGAACCGTCTGCAACTCTAGCCTTGGACTGGCGCTCCTTTTTGCATATGTCACATTCCAAACGAAGGATTGCTTCTGGCGCTGCTTTTTCTCGCAGTAACTTTTGGCACGTGGCGTGGTTGCACTCTAGTCTGTGCCCGTTCCAGCTGCCAGGTACCGGCGTGGGACAGCCATGCAAAAATGCGTGGTTCGTCTCGGACAACGCGCCGTTTCGTACTTCGTTTTGTAGACTCTGCAGCCATATATCTTGGGTACGCTCGCACTCGACCAGTTCTGTCACGCCATGGATGCCGTCCGGGGTTTCGCCCCAGACTAACTCCTGCCCGCGGATGGTATGGGCTACCTTCTTCGTTTTGCATTGCGTCAACCATTCCCATGGGATATCTCCCAAAAAGGTTCCACGTGGCGGTGGCAGCTGCCACATATCACCTGCCAGAATAACGTTTAACCCTCCAAAGGGACGAGCATATGCCGCATCCTTTGCATACTTGCCTTGGGCGAAATCCCGGACCAACTCTCGGCAACGCAACTCTAACCGGGCCAAGAGCTCAGCGCTAACCATGCTGATTTCATCAATGATGAGCCATCGCCAGCGCAAGGCTTTGGCGCTCAGCTCCAGGAGCTTGTGCCCGCTAATGCGCTCATCGCCAAGGCCTTGCCAGTTCAAACCAAACGCGTGGTGGATAGTGTCGCCCTTCAAGTCATTGGCCATAACAGCCTGCAGCGTCACGACTTGGAATTCCTCACCTTGCTTCCAGCCCAAAATATCCTCAAACAATTCTTTCCGGAGACGATTCAAGACATGATCTCTCTCTCTCTACCGGACCACCCCCAATAGGGGGGTCGGCGGCACCAGGGCGCTAGCCCATTCTATTATAATATCTAATTAAATATAAATAATTACAGCAGATATACTGTATGACATACCTGTATAATCTTGTACCTATCCATCGTACAAACTTGAACCCCAACAAGTCAACCAGCTAGCCTTCCCAGCTGGCGTTTTTGTTTTTTTTGCTGATCGTTTCGCCCAAGTTTCGTCAGGATTCTGACCTCTTCCTTCTTGACATTCTGAAAGTGCGCCTGACTGCCACAGAAGCACCAGCTCCGGTCGGGCAGTGCTATTGCTTGGATGATCTGCACAGGCCCTTTTTGTTCTGCAGATAATTCCAGATATTCCATGAGATGGGTTTGTTTGAACATGGAGTAAACTATGGAATACTGTATACCCAAGAATTGCAGTATATATTGAAGAAAATTACGATCAACATTGATCAACCATCAAATTTAAGGGATCCTATTCTCAGACAAACCCATGTTTCCAAATCTCAGCGACCACTGGCAGCAAAGCCAGATGCTCTAACTGAAGCTACTGGATAATTGGATCCTTCCTCTGGAAGTATGTCAGCTCTTGACTAGCGCACTGCCGGTGCCACAAAAAATCAAGAAAAATCAAAGAGCCAAAGATCTAGAGGTGCCGCAAGGTGCTGCAACATGCTCTGAACAGGGAACCCAGCAATGATAGAAGAGCATCATCGGGGTCAGGATTCAGCATCAGCCGGTGCTGGTGTTTCATGTTTGAAGGTTTCCTGCAGAGCCTGTGGTCTCGCTGTTGTGACTTTTTGAAAGTCCAGCGAGAAATTTCACCGAAGTCAGGTTGAGTGTAGACAATCAATCTGTGAGGACAGGTGGGAAAATAGTGGAATAATGTGGGGATACTGTGGTTAAACCTCGCCATTCTAGAATTTGGGATGTATGTATATATATATATATATATAGATACACCATTTATATATCAAAATTTGGCATGATCGATGCCCTGACTTCTGCCATGTCATCTACAGTAAGAAACATGAAGAAAAGAAACTATGTCGGTGCACATCTCTGAATTTTGCCCAAAAGAAGTCCAGTCCGCACAACGTTTCCATCTTCATGGACGATCTCGGGCAATACAAAGCTCAATCAAATACTGCGGTTTAGGAGCATGGCAGCTATCTCTTGTTGAAGCGCGGTTTCGTGGGTGTGTACTTTGATCCCAAGATGCTGGTTTCCAGTTGGAAAGCTCGTCGATTCTCGGTGGCATAGTGTGTCACTGCCATACTCGGCAAAGACTTGCTGGGAAGAAGCCTGGGACCATGGGACCATATGGGAATCATGGGAATCATGGCAAGCTATGATATTTGGCCATCCATTTAAGCCTTTCTAAGATTTCTAAGTCTTTCTGTTGTCGTCACTGATAACTCTCCTTGATCCAGGAGAAAACAAGCATGTACGTTCAAAGAATTCATGCCCATGGAATATCCGGCTTGTGCAGCAGGTCCCATAGCAATAAAAATCGGCGAGACACGTCCTGTGTTTCAACTTCAATAGCCATAACAGCATATAATAGCCCCATAGTCTCTTCATTTTTCTGGGACAAACAGAATATAATAACAGAATCAGATTTTCCCCCGTCACCTGTCATCTTGTCAAGACAGTACTGTGAAACCCAACTTCCCTCACCACAGAAATCGCTTCCCACACCGCATGTCAGACCTGGCCCTGCATGTTTCGTGGCTTCTGAGACAATATGGTCGTCCGGAGGCATCCAACACCCAGGGGTTTGTTGCCTCGACAGCGCTGGAGTCTTCAAAGTTTACCCAGCGGGTGATGTTTTGAGGAAATACGGCACGCCTCTGTGCAAACGCCTTTCCTGTTTGTATCAGCAAGATAGCAAGAATCTACTTCCAGAAGAGTAATCACTGCAGACTAGATCGGTCCTGTGTGAACTTATTGCATAGATTCTTCATGATTGTTCCGGTCTTAAGTGCTAATGTTGCCTCTGGTTTAAATTGTCTTCCAAATGTCTTCCATGTCAACTCTACCATTCACACCAGGCAGTGGTGGCTGTTTGAAAGTTTTATTCCCATTACATCCCAATATATCCCAATGAAATATGCCAATCCAAGTGTACACCTTCTACTTTGCACTAACCCGCCTTGCGTCCATGAAGCTTCTCTTTCAGTCTCTGCTGATTCCATGTCCAAAGCCACTTCTGTTCTTTTTCTGCTTGCTCCGAATCCGCAGGGCTGATCATGGGGGAGCACAATGACTTGATGAGCTCCGCACAAATGGGAAGACAGTCTACATTTCTGCACTTGAATGATGTGTGTTTTGCCACTTCCCACATGAGTTCAAGATCTTCAAGGAATGTGCACAGACCAGTGGATATTAATATATATATATATATTAATACTCAAATGATGCCAACCACTGTTGCAATTCCTTTAGTCTTGCTTCCACATGATCTAATTCGATCTTGGAGCACATCTCTGAAAGCCTTCATCCGAGCCAATGCTTGTTGCGGCATCACGGATGCTGTTCGAGAACATAGGGAAGATCACCTTCTGCCAAATTCCGATTCCAAAACATGTTAAAACGAACATATCTAGTGGTATAGGTGTAGCTGCTAGCTGCTTTTCGGGGGGATGCCACAAAGAGCTGGTCATTCTTAGATCTTCACACAATCTAAGTTAGAATCTAAGAAACCCAACATTTTAAAGTGTTTACACAGAAAATTCATCAAATTTCAAGCCAGTAATCCAGTATCCGTATCAGTAGCAGGCTACCACCTCTCCCAATCTTCCAACAAATTATGTCAACCAATGTCAACCCCGACCCCCACCTTCGACAAGTCTTGGACCTTGGACAGCAGCAATTCATAGCGCTTCTCTGCCTCTTCCAACTTCCCAGCCTCGGATTTAAGCAATCCAACGGCTCAGCAATGCTCAGTATTAGTATTAGATGTCTATTAGATGTATTAGCACTGAACCTCTATGCCGATGCGAAAAGGGCTTCCCCAGAACAGAATTGTTGCTCGTCATTCACGTGATCAAGCATCCCACCTATACATTGCATGATATACTCAGTTCTTAAGTTGGATAGATTAGATCATGCACGCGCCATGTCTTCTGTTTGTGCCTGAAAATGGGGTATATCCATGTATATCCCACCAACTGGCAACTAACATGGGAAACTCGCTGATTCAGCATGTGGGCCAGTATGTTCAGCCATCTAATACCAACCATCTCTGAATGCGCAGTATGTTCAGACAAACCCCCATGGCCCCATGGCCACGCCCAGCTGGTGGCCTTAAAGATCTCCTTGACATCATCACACTCGCGATGGACATCTTCCAAAGCTGACAGCAGCGCCTCCGCTGCGAGATAGGTCCAGACTTTGTCGTAAAGGGGTCAACAAAAAAAGAATTACTTTACTTCGAGTGATCCCCACCATGACATTTATACATTTAAAAATAGCAAATCTTCTGGCATTCGATCTGGCATATCTTCTGGCATTCCATCTGGTCATTGAATGTCATTGACAAATCTGTTGTTACATAGATACCAGGCGCTGCCTTCTAACACTCTTTTTGTCTGTGACGTTGCTAGCCGGTCTGCCGCTTCACTCCCGAATGTCACCTGGCATAGCTTCTGGCATTCTATCTGGCATATCTCATGGCATTTTATCTGGCATATCTTCTGGCATTCTATCTGACATATCTTCTAACACTCTATCTGGCATATCTTCTGGTATTCTATCTGGCCGTTGAGGTCAAGCAGTGCACACTGAGCTGGGAAGGTCCCAGGTTGAGGTCCAGCAGTGCATACTGAGCTGGGAAGGTCCCAGGTTGAGGTCCAGCGGTGCACACTGAGCTGGGAAGGTCCCAGGTTGAGGTCCAGTCCAGCGGTGCACACTGAGCTGGGAAGGTCCCAGGTTGAGGTCCAGCGGTGCACACTGAGCTGGGAAGGTCCCAGGTTGAGGTCCAGCGGTGCACACTGAGCTGGGAAGTTGGCAAAGAGCTTGGCGAAGAGTTGGCAAGGCGGAAGTTGAGGTGGAAGTTGATGCAGACATGGTCGAGGAGAAACTGGAGGAGGAGGCAGAGGAGGAGGAGAAGGCGGAGGACGAGGAGGAGGAGGAAGAGGAGGAGGAGGACGAGGAGGACAGCTAGCCGAGGAGGAGAACAACTCTGATAAAATCTAACAACCCTCACCTGGCAGGTGGGGCACTTAACAACGGATAGGAAAAGGAATCCCTATATTATACTGCTTGATAAGTAAGAAGACTTTTGAAGATTATAGAATATGATTCCATATTTATTCCGTACATGTCAGTCCAGGGCTGACACGGATGCCCCTGGACGCTGCAGCTGGGCGCTGGGCCTTTCGATTCCTCGGTCTCAAAGCCGAAAGAAAGGTGGAAAATCGCCGCCAACCTCAGGTGACGGCTGGTCAATGTAGGACACTCCAAGGACAGCCCACTCATCTGCGAAGAACAAGTGGACGCAAAACATGAAAGGATAGATAATGATAGGTGGTGATAGATATATAGTGTTTATATAATATAATATATGTATATATCATATATAGATAATATATATATATATTAATATATGGGTAAATAAATTTAAGAGTATATACATTGTACTGAACAGATTTCTTCAGTTCTTAGTGGACAACAAGCACTGTGTCTTGACCGCCTTGGGATGGTATGGGATGGTTGATGCATGTTTCTCAGGCACAGATCACTTAGGCTCCAGGTGTTTGAATATTGTATTGTTGATTTATATTGAATTATATTGAACTTGTTGATCTACATATATATATATATATATATTATCATTCTTAAATTATATATAATATATTATCACATGTTCAACTGATTTTTCTTGCATTTTATTCTGGTAAGCCCAACCCACAGAATTTTAAGGTCTTTCTCCGGCGTCGATCCATCATCATCCATCCACTTGCGCACCCTCCAAGAATTTCACAAAAACATCTGGATAAATCTTATAATATCTTATAATCATTCACCAACCTGAAATAAGGTCATTGGGGATGTTTCCTCTTACTATCTCTTACTAACCATCACCCTAGTGACGTCGCAATGACGTCGTTATCTATAAACTCACTTTGTCGCCATAACGTCGCCAAGCTACCCTCAGTCAGCCTGAGCACCGGCAAACGATCGCCAAATCAGGGCACGACATCTGAATCTCGAATGGTGACGTGGAGTAAACATGAGTAAACTAGAAGTGTACACAGCTCTGAAACAAACAGAATGCACGTTATGCGACCACCCAGGAACGCAAACAGACTCATGGAAAAGTATGGAAAAGTCGGTACACGTAGCCGTCAGTCCGACCCCACTTCAGCTAAGTAGCAACTGACGCGTAGTCTGCCAGTCAGCAGTCATCACACGCCTAGGGATGCAGCTGGCAAAATCTTCAGCGAAAGTGATGTGGCCATATGTGGCCAAGATGCTGCAAACAGCGCCGCAACCAACGTCTGGCAGGTTGAGCAACCTGGCCGCTGGGAATGGTCAGAGGAACCAACAACTGAATGTGATTCCACATTTTTTGGGAGGAATGCACCACGGAATTGAAATAAAACTGCTGGATATGGACAGTTCCGGGTTCAAAGCAGTTGCATTGTGGAAGATGGAGAAAACATGAGAAAACACCAAAACCGATCCGAAGAAACACTGAACCGAATGTGGTCGCTAAGAAAGATAAAATAGCTGTAAACAATCAACGATTACAATTGAATGCATTCGAATCCTGTTGAGGTCAGCGAATGAACCCCAGATCGCCCCAGCGGCGCCTGTTTGGTGAGCTGTACAGCATCTTTTGCCTGACAAGGGCCCCTAAAAGGTCACTCGGGTGATCTCGGGTGTCTCCAACACAACATGCATAGGCTGCTGGTCGGCAAGGGCAGATTCAAATCGCACATGCAAGCTGCTTCCCCTTTTTAACCTGCCAAAATCGACGAAATGTAATGAGTCTATAGCAGGAAAGCTAAAGGTTGGTGCATTGTACTGAGTCACTTAGTCCGTACCAATTTCTGCCAATCTCATCAGCCATGATCCGCCAACCTCACTGATGCTCCCTGCATCTCATTGGCATCTCGTTGGCATCTCATTGGCCACCCTCAGGTGTCTTCTTTTGCCAAACGTCCACTTCCAGGGTGTGGCCTTCAAAGGTAGATCCATTCAGCATCTCCACAGCCTTCTGCACCTCTTCTGGTGTCTTATATGCGGCCCCTGCAATTCCACTCTTGTTGATCTCGGCAAAGATGCATTCACCAGCCTATCGAGGGTCCACGGAATAGTAGATACTTTCCGCACCATTCCCCACCCAAGGCAAACAGCCAAATAAAAAGAAAGAAACTACTGGAGTGGTCATTTTCACCAAAACTTACCGAGACCATTTAGGCTTGAGATCGTGCTCTTTCAATCGATGTTAACTAGTAGTGGACTGTCTCAGAACCATGAATGTACGGGTGCAACGCAAAAAAAAACTAAAACATGTCACGACATGTCTCCGGACTAAAAAAGTGACCCCGTCAAAGCATGGATGCTACACTTGTAACTTCTGAAGATTTCGTCCCCTTGGTTCACAATTTGCTGAGGTCTGAAGATACTAAGATGCACATGAAGGACCTTGTGTACCAACAAGGACAGCAGATTGTTGCACGGCTGGCTTTCGACAGGTTTCTGCCTGGGCCATGTGCTCCTTCAGCTTCTTGTTGGTCTCAATGCTGGTAGGCCCTGCGGGCAATCCTCCAATCCACACTTTCTTCTCGTTCGCAAAGCCTCGGAGCCCCTGCACAGTCAAAGACGATCACAGATCTTTGATCCCTTGCAACTGACACAGCAAAAGAATGCAAAACTCATGTTTTAATGCATGCAACCTGAAGCAAGGAAACAAGAGAATCATTTGGAAACACATGAAGCCGGGCCTTTCCCTTGCCTTTTCCCCAAGGCATCATCATCATGGGGGGGAAGCCCCACCCATAGCCACCTTTGCCGTAGCCACCCCAACCCATGGCAGAAAATAACACAAAAAAAAAGAAACAGGTTCTTATTGAATGACTTGAACGAAAGAAATGGCTGCGGGAATCACATATGTATTTAAAGGTTGTCTGTGTTTGAACACAAGCAGCAGCACACATGGTGTGGACACAAGAATCACAGTTCCCTTTCTCAAGTCTGGTTCCCTGCACAAGTCATCTGCAAATGCAAGCTGCTTCCCCTTTTTAACCTGCCAAAATCGACGAAATGTAATGAGTCTATAGCAGGAAAGCTAAAGGTTGGTGCATTGTACTGAGTCACTTAGTCCGTACCAATTTCTGCCAATCTCATCAGCCATGATCATCTCATTGGCATCTCGTTGGCATCTCATTGGCCACCCTCAGGTGTCTTCTTTTGCCAAACGTCCACTTCCAGGGTGTGGCCTTCAAAGGTAGATCCATTCAGCATCTCCACAGCCTTCTGCACCTCTTCTGGTGTCTTATATGCGGCCCCTGCAATTCCACTCTTGTTGATCTCGGCAAAGATGCATTCACCAGCCTATCGAGGGTCCACGGAATAGTAGATACTTTCCGCACCATTCCCCACCCAAGGCAAACAGCCAAATAAAAAGAAAGAAACTACTGGAGTGGTCACTTTCACCAAAACTTACTGAGACCGGATAGGCTTGAGATCGTGCTCTTTCAATCGATGTTAACTAGTAGTGGACTGTCTCAGAACCATGAATGGCGCATTTGTACGGGTGTAACGCAAAAAAAACTAAAACATGTCACGACATGTCTCCGGACTAAAAACGTGACCCCGTCAAAGCATGGATGCTACACTTGTAACTTCTGAAGATTTCGTCCCCTTGGTTCACAATTTGCTGAGGTCTGAAGATACTAAGATGCACATGAAGGACCTTGTGTACCAACAAGGACAGCAGATTGTTGCACGGCTGGCTTTCAACAGGTTTCTGCCTGGGCCATGTGCTCCTTCAGCTTCTTGTTGGTCTCAATGCTGGTAGGCCCTGCGGGCAATCCTCCAATCCACACCTTCTTCTCGTTCGCAAAGCCTCGGAGCCCCTGCACAGTCAAAGACGATCACAGATCTTTGATCCCTTGCAACTGAGACAGCAAAAGATGCAAAACTCATGTTTTAATGATTTTAATGCATGCAACCTGAAGCAAGGAAACAAGAGAATCATTTGGAATCACATGAAGCCGGGCCTTTCCCTTGCCTTTTCCCCAAGGCATCATCATCATGGGGGGGAAGCCCCACCCATAGCCACCTTTGCCGTAGCCACCCCAACCCATGGCAGAAAATAACACAAAAAAAAGAAACAGGTTCTTATTGAATGACTTGAACGAAAGAAATGGCTGCAGCAGTTGAGCAAAGCTTGTATGCCATCGGTTGTGCGGATTGACCATGGCTCAACAAATTGCCAAATACCATGCTTTGATATCTTGACCTCATCAGGCTGCCTGTTCAGCAACATTCCCAGCAGTCATGGCACAGTTTGTCTAGCAGTCAACAATGGCACCTAAATGTAATTGTCATGTCTCAAGCGGCCTGAGTGTCGTAGGAAGCCCATAAGCTTTCGCGGCCAGACTTTGCCTTGTCATTGCGGCGTTCAATGTGAAGCCAGAGCACTGCGCAAAAACGATGTGGCAGAATGCTGAGGATTCATCGAACAGATTGACACCAAAAGTCCTCCTGTCTGCCCCAATGTGTCCACGTTTGACACCGCTCCTGTTCCGCGATGGATTGCTGGAAGGCAGGCAGGAACGGCCTGGGCTGGTGGACTCCAGCAATTGCTGGGATTCCAACCCCATCAGCTCATCGGGTGAGGGAGCATAGCCAATGGTATTGTACTATACCTGATTGGCTCACACCCTTGGTAGCCTGTTTACATCAAACATCATCAAACTAGCTGGTCTGGATATTCGTCCACCATTGGAAAAAAAAAACGTGGAAAAAAAAACCGTGGGACATGGCCCATCCGACCATCCCATCTGGCCTCAATGCCAAACACAGGGCCGGCTCAGTGCTGTGAACCTGCACCATCCCATGGCGGGATTTCATTGATTTCTCCATGGCCCCATTGGCCCAGGAATGGAGTGGTATGCCAGGGAAAATCTATATATACCATATACATCCAGATATACCATATACCATCATATACCAGTGTTTTTCAAATCAAATCAAGACTGGGATTTCTTGTTATTTTTCCCTGCATCCAATAATATTTCATCTAGCATGAGTTTGTCTGGAAGTATACCAAAATCCACTGGTTAATTTTCATTTTTTCTATTATCTAAATTTGATTGCCATTTTTATGAGTCTTCAGTTCAGATTCACCCACATCTTCTTAAACGGGTTCTATATACCCATAATTACATCCCCATAATATCCTCATTGTATCAATGTGTATATATACCTGGATCAACTGGGGAACGTTTTTTTTTGGGAGGTTTCTGTTTTTAGGTTGAGATCAAAAATCCCCAAAATCCCGAATTTCAGGAATTCGTTCAAACATACTAAAACATACTAAAACCATGTAGAAACTACATGTTTATCATCACAGTCAGAATCGATAGGCTTCAGATGGTCCAATTTCCCTGAAATTGATAGTAGACTTTGATGGGTTGTTTGTTGGTTCCTCCATGGTTTTCCCCGACCAGCCCTTCAACCCCTGCTCATGTGAATAGCGACGGCTGCCCCTGCAGCTGAAATTGGATCCTCAGGATTCACTTGGTATGATTGGACATGGAAATAAATTAAAACGAATCTCAACCTTGACCACATCACAGGTCTTTGTGTTTTTTTTTATCCCCCGGGTGCAGCATCATGATGTTGCCACACATCGAAAGCACCAGCCAAGTACCGTTGAAGTACTCGTTGATGGGTCGTCCTTGCATTCACCCTACGGCTTAGCAAGGAGGCCCTACCTATGAAGTCCTCAGCCATGGCACAACTAAATGCTAGGACGTTATATGGTTTTGCCCCTCTGTACAGCTCATCTTTGATTTGAAGCAAAATATGGTGAAAATAGTGAATTTTGGGTTTATAAACCCACAACGGTCTGTGCAGTGCATGGGCCTTTGAAGCCAATTTGGCATAGCATCGCATGTAATGCATACCACTTTCCAAGACTTTGGTGGCTTGGTTTCTTTCCTCAGATGTTTTACGGTTCCCAAATCAAGAGCTATCTTGTGGGAAAACCAGTTCACTTGAATTGCAAAGGGGTTGAAAACACCAGCGTAGTAAACAATGGGGTTATATTGAAAACAGAAACCTTTTGCCCAGACAAGAGACCATAAATAGATCGGAGTCATAGAGGGTTTTCATACAGACCCCAATGCTTTGACAGGAACTTTGGATGTAGTACAAAACCTTGTCCGTAGATACCTTCTCTGGGTAAAGACTGCAAACATACAGGATGAACTCAAGGATCTTTGGGGTGTCACTGGCCTTAGACCATGTCCCAGTTGGAAAGACCTTCTTCGCGTCCAGAAAGTTCAACATATTCCGGGTGAAGTTGTAGGTGTGGGTTGAAACTTTGAACATCCTTTTCCACAATCTCCAGGCTGAATTCAAAGAGTCCAGCTGCTTTTCAACACTGGACCCCTGGAAAAGAATCCCAAGCATGTAGACCAAGCATGAACCAGCATGATCTTGTCCGAAACCTGCTAAGTAGATGTGGAACAAGTCTGGCAAGTAGAACTTCGCTGGGTGCGCATTGTACCCCAGAGAGTTCTCCATCAACCCACATGGACTATCACCCCAAGGCGGTATGTCAATCCAGTCTGGCAGCGACTGGTACCAGGCAGGGGTCTCGGTGTGAATCTCCTCGAAGGGTATGGTGACGTCCCCAGCCCCACAAAGCCAACAACACCAACCTGCTGTTTGATTTGCTTTCTTGGGGTCATAAGGCCCCTTGCGGCATGTGCTATACCATCGTTTAAATTTTCCAGCCCGAGCTTGAAGTTTGAGGTCAGCTTTCAAACCAAGGAGGACCAAGCGGAAATGTGCACCACCAACCATGACTCCTTTCTCAAAGCATTCGGCTAAGTCCCGACCAAACTCAGTGAGCATCGCTTGAAATGTAGAATCATCTTTGTGCCAAGCAGCAGGCATCACTGCCCAAAGATAGTGGGTTGCATAGCTATGCCCCAGTAAGTTGACACGTGGGTTGTTTGCAGTTTTTCTCTTGAAACTGACTGGTCTGACCGCATGGTCCTTTCGATTCTGCTTGCCTGTCCCAATTCCAAGAGCTGAACTCCAGTTGAACACCATTAGCTCTGACTTTTTGAATCCCCGACCACCGTCAGCATGTGCATAAATTGGTATACAGGTTCCATAGTCAACGCCAGGAGTGAGAAATAAACCAAAGTCAGGATGACACAGTTCATACTGCCGCCAAAAAGTTTCTAGGAGAACCCGACAGGAGGAGATTCTGTGGCCACCAAGTAAGCGATGTATGTTCCCGCTCCCAGCCATGTACTCTAAGAAGTCCAGAGGTTTGATTCGAGGATACCCTTCCACATGACTCCCCGACAAAGGTGAAATCTCCAGTGGCAACGCTAAATTGTTCTTCTTCAACAGGGCATGGATTCTGTCTTCAGCGTTAGCATCTGGTATCCTAGTCATTCCCCGAACCACCGGGCAGGAAGCCACAACGCTTGATGTCCCTGCAGCATCCGCCCAGGTTTTCCGAGCAGACTCCAGCACATGTGTGCAAGGCACCTCAGTCACCGGCCAGGATGCAGCGGCGGCTCCCTGAGAGGGCTGGGGAAATATATACTGATCGATATTTTTGCTCTATTGGGTGTATTGGTCATCAGTATGTTTGTCGAAATACTTGCGAAGGCAAAACTTTACTGAAAAGTTCGGACAGCACTGTCGACGGCTCTTTTCCCAAGTGAGACGCTGAAAGGGGTCCATCACATTGCAGATTTGAAAACAAGATAGGTGAAGAAGGGAGGTTCTCCGCTTACCCTGCCTTCACCACCTGGCCGAATGTTTCGGTTACCAGGCAGGCCTTTGTGGGAATCGATAAGTGTGGCTTCCATCAAAGCCGCTTCATCCCAGGTGCTGCATGCAAACAAAACATACATGCCTTTGAATTTCTCATGGCAACGGTAATAGCCAAAAGTGGGCGACGAGCTCGACCATTCTTTGTAAAAACGAAACATGGGATCCGCTGTTATCCCAATCTTGTATACATGGGGACCACGGTCCAAAACGCTTTGAATTTTGTTTTTGCAACATGCCAGGGCCTGGCCAGCATTGGCATTAGGGGGAGGCAATTTCAGCCAGACCAGCCCGTCTGTATCCAGGCCTTGTGAAATCAAATTCGACAGCCGAGGCAAGCTTCTCAGTTTGGGTCTAAAGAGCTTCAATACTTCGATATCACCTCAGGTGGTTAGTCTGTCTCAAAGATGCTATTTAAAACAAGCATCTCTATGTTCAAGCGTGGTTTTGTCAAGTTCAAACACTTGAAAAATTGGGCGTTGGACTGCTTGGCAAAGAATTCCCATAGTGCACAGTCCGTTGGTGACACCTATCAGTCAGAAGCTCTTTGTCGTTCATGACGGCGTCTGATGTCTGAGAAGCTAGTCTGTGACCAGAAGATCGGATTCGTTTTGGCTTTGGACTTTGGCCTTACATGCGACCAAATGCCAAGAAAGACCGTGCAATTAGCAGGAACAGCTTCGCAGGTTTCGCAGGTTTCATTTGGTTCCCAAAACTGTAGTTTATCAAATTCTGCAACCACGCAGCTCTGGGCAGGTGGATCCGGAAGGTGCTGCAGCCGACGTGTCAATTTTAACCCATTGCTCTCTATGCTAAATCCAAAGAGTTCTTCTAACCAAAGGGTATCTTCACAAGACATGCTGACAGCCAAGATGCTATCAAATCAATGTGCGTCAAGTTGGAGGACCGCAAGCTTAGTGAAACATAGCACACCACTTTCTGACTCTGAGGTTGGCACGCCTTTGCCAATTGAAGCAGCTAGGTGCTCAGCTGTACCACTGACCTTTTGGATCTTTGGACCTGGCCATCACCAAAACTGAAGTTTCAAGCTTTGGCTTGCTTTGGGAACTAGTTTCTGGAGACTGGGGGATACTGGGGGCAACATTGTATCGATCTATTTCTTCACAGGTGTGCGCATGTGGGTATATGCACGCGGGTATGCATATGATGCGACACTGGGAAAGCATCACTCCTTGAATGCAACTGCTAGCACTGGTTTTCCATTCCAGCGCAAACATCTAGCGCACTTTCCCAGCCATCACAGGATATTTGGTGCCCGTGATATTTTGGGACGATTGTTTACACCCCCACAACCAAGCTTAGCCTTTGAGGGCCTGCGCACGCTAGCTGTGAGCGTGGAGTGCAGGTCGAAATCTACGATCATAGCATTGAATTGGTTGTGAAAAACCCACTATTTCTTCCAAAGCAAATCTTCTCTGGAAAACGCTTCAGTCAAGATTTTGAGCTCAAGTCTCAGGATGCTCCTTGTCAACCTTTGCCTTGGGCTTCTTGGCAAATGGCCTGGACAGGAAATGTCAGATAGGACATCTAAAATGCGTGGCTTGAATCAACATCATTTGTAGATACATTTCAACTTGAAGACTTGGCACATCGAGTTCAAGTTTGCACCTGAACTTCTTCTCCGTGGCCACCCATTTTGTGAGCCTGAGTGAAGCAGAGTACAACAATGGCCCTGTCAATTCCCAGCTGATATCAAAAAGTGTCCGGTATCTACTTGCGTTGGAAAGACTAATTCGCAGAACCCTCAGACAAGACAAAATGATAAAAAGAGACGTTGAGGTATTGACACCTTCTGGCTCTCCGTGAAGATCTTCGCCAACTTGTCATGTGTCCTTTGTTTGGAAGTAAATGATGCTTAAGTCCTTTGGGCATGTCAAGCCCACAGCATCAGAAACAAATAATTAGAAACAAAGAAGTTTGCACGCATGGTGCCCGCACTTTCGATACAAAGGTTGATTTGGGACTACATGTGCATCCTTTTGTGGCTGACCTGGGCTGAATCCATGTGTTTTGGCGAGGCTCTCTTGGGAATCTTTGCTCATGGTGCCAGCTTTCATCTCACCGGCGTACTCCGTCATGGCATCGTAGATTTTACCCAAGTCAAGCGTGAACTGTGCAACGACTGGCACCGCCCTTGGTCTAGCTACGCCACGACTAGACATGCAACAATGCTTTGAAAAAGGTCGCGAGCACAAAAACGAGCTTCCACCACCTATAGGCATGATTGTGTGGGGTCGTTTGACAACTAAGTAATGGTCTCACCCGCCCCTTGAACTGCAGCAGCGGTGTTCTCCTTCAGCTTGCCATGGAAAACTTGAGCCTTGTTCAGGACCACAAGCAATTCGTCCATGTGCGTTTGTAGTTCGGTGACCTAGAGGGTCGGTGGCTTTGGGAAACGAATCAAAGCATTTTCTTTGAGTTCAGTTCCTCAACGTTTTTGGGATGCCCACAACAAACTGTCCCAATCACAGATTGTTTTCAAATTATCACTTCAAATCCAGATGGGTTTGAAGAGTAATTATTGAGTATTGCAAAGCCATGTATGAAATATGGGAACATCGAATAATATATAGAAAATCATGGCCTTGTTCGGCTTCTTGGTCTCTACACCAGGGCCCTCGTGGCCATGCGCAGCCAAGTCTAACTTCTGGGGCAACAATTTCATCGCGAAAGTATCAGTGGTTCCCTTCGTAGCGGTTCTCTCCTGGAGCTTTTGGGATTGACGGTTTTTGAGACTGCCCTTGGTCCTTTCATTGCACCAGTAGTAGACCACTTCGTCGTCCACTTCATCGACCCTGGGCTGGTTAAGCCATCAGAGAGGTTTTAGATGTAGAAGGGTGGTAAAAACATCCTTATTAAGACTGGTTGGAAACAGACCAAACATGAGTCCAAACTGCATCATGTACGTGGGATCCTTTTGCCCACGTGCCACGGTCTTCTCAATTCTGCTCCTTAGCTCGGCAGTTGGGTTGGAGAATGCATCCAATTTTTTGGACAATAATTTATCGTGTCCCCATAGCGTTTTTGGAAATAAGACCGCGAAAGGATATTATGAGCGTATCGCGGTTTTCTGTTTGTAGCCCAGTTCATCCTTCATCTCCTGTTCTGTGTAGAAAGCCCCGGTGGTCTCCAACTCATTGACTTGCTCAGCGGTTTTCTCCATGGACACTTCTTTAAGGAATTCTTCCTCCCATCGGGGTCTGAATCAAGGACGTGTCTAATGAGATATGGGTTGGACCCCAATAACCTTCACTTGCTGATATCAAAAACCAGAAGAGAGGATAAGCCCGCATACCATCGAAAACAAAGCTTTCCTAGTTGTTCTTTAAGGTGTTGGGCGTGGGGTATCCCCACAGGTTACCTTGTCCCTACCCTCATACCGTTATGTAAACAACATTCGAAATTCGAAGACTATAAAGCAGATCTCTTCACCATGCTTGTTTGGTTGGAACCCTAGTCCTTCTGTCCGTCACTCCTGACGAAGGCTTCAAATAGCCTTTCCCTGGACGCACCCTTGCTTTGAAACTGGTCAAATATGTCTTGTGGAACTTCAATCTTACCGCTGGCCTTTTTGGGTTCACACATCCTCCTGAACTTGCCTCTGTACTTTTCAACCTCCTCCGGTGTGAGCACGCGTCCCCCAATACGTTTGCCAGTAGTCGGGGCCTCTGCGGCTGAAGAATTCAACCTCTTGGCAAATAAGGCTTTAACCCCAAAGGTTGTTTGGGTCTAGGCTGTCTTGATCTTGGGGCAGCTACGAACTACTCCCCAGAATGTTTCCCGCTAGAAATTTTGAGGTTGGAAAGATATGTTGAAGTTCGAGTAACATTATAATGCAAGCTTGGTTGTGCTGATTCCATCAACGAGCCCACCTCGGTGGTGGCTGAAGTATTGGTCCGGGTCGAAGATGTCGAAGGTGGTGTCGTCGAACTAGCACGGGCCTCCAATTCCTGCCAAGGAAGCTGGACGTGATTGATTTTCTGGACGACTACTGGCCATGATATGCAGTTTGAAATATGATCATTTCAGAAACAATTGTGTTGCAACATGCTTCGGGACCCCCACCTTCTGAAACTGACCAGGACCCCCCAAAGGAGAAAGCGACATCGCTCTGCAAGGAGGGGATTCAAGAGAATCCAAGTAAGGGTCATATGTAGCAGGAAGAGCTTTGGGAGAATTGTCAAGGTCAGGAGAAAAAACGAAACCCCTTCGGATCATGTGATCGTCCATGTGATCTTCATTGTCTGACAAAAAACCATATGGATCATCACTCGCATCAACGCTCATGTTGGACAGTCGAGATGGCGAAAGCTCCCCCTTCTCAGACTCGGAAGGAGCAGCCCGAAGACCAGGTTCAGCCAGGGGAGCTGTCACCTAAGAAGAGAAACCAAGTCTATTGGACAGTGTCGATTGCCTATGCCCCAAACTTCATTCAGTTGGATTCGGGTTGTAACTGAATAAATAGAGGGAAAATTAGAGCTAAGAAACCAGGTTAAGCTCTTCTTTGATTCCAGGCTGTGTCTCTGCTTCGGCTATCTCTGCCTTGGCCTGCTCCATTTTCAGTTTGACCTCCTTCACAGGGGGTATGGTTCCCAAACATTGCACATACCGAGTAAGAACCATGAATTAGAATAGGAACGCGTAGAAATTAGAACTTAAAATGATTTGTGCAGGGTTATCCTGAATCATCTTTTGTAGCTCGTTTGGGTCATCCGGCATGCGTTCTGTCTGCTTCAGCATGCTCAGGGCTTCGTCAAGGGATGAGCAGCTCCACAAATTGCTTTTCAAGGGTTGTGACGCCATGGGTTGTGGAGACACAGGGTGCCAAACAGTTCGAGCCCTAGCAATCTTCAAAAGTTCAAACACCACATGAAGTCTCAAAAGTTCGAATTTAGATCGAAACATGAAAAACCCAGATAAAGCCTAACTTGAAAATATGTTGGAAAAAGCACCACTTCGGCTGCTTTTTTTTGCGCTTTGGTCGTGTTTTTTTGGGCGCTCGGCGCTGTGTTTTTAGTCGCTTTTTTTGATTGGTTTGCGTTTTTGGTCGTTGGCTGTGTGTTTTTGGTCGTTGGCTGTGTGTTTTTGGGCGCTCGGGGTGAAACTGGTCAAAATCATGTAAAACTACGAAAAAAACACATCCAAACATGGGAAAACCAGAGCTTGAATAACGCTGTTTAGACAATCGCTTATACTCAGGTTTCCTGGTTCCAACAAGAACCCCAGGAAAGTGCGACTGGGGCTGCTGACAGGTATATATGTTGATTGGACAGGTCAATGCAATGTTTTCTTTTCACCGCTTGAGCTGCTTCCAGACCATCCTTCTAGAGTGGAACGTAAAGAATGGGTGGGGCGGGGCCCCTTTCTGTAGAGAATTCCATTTGCCAGTAATTTTGATGAAAGTTTTGATGTTGGATTGGTACCCTCAGGGCCCCCCCCTTTTCTACCATTTAAATCTCCCTTGGAAGGACGCTCTTCCAATTGGGTGGAATTTGCAAAGCTTTGGCGCCATACAAGTAGCGAATCAAAGATCGCATGTTAGCATCATCCCACAAATCGCCCCAGCTCCAAGTCTCAAAGAGGGCCACGGCATCAACCCGAGGATTATCAGCAACATAGTCAGTTCGAGGCTTCAGCCTTTCGAGTAGCGAGGCAATCTTGTTGCCAAACTGGGGCGTGTAGTGCCTCAAGGCGATGAAACAACAGAGGAGAAAGGTGGCGGGCCAGATGTACCTGGACGACCCCCATCCCTGTAAAGAAACACCATTATATTCCCAAGATCTATTCCAGCATTCTTCCAAGTAGAGGTGTGCTTCAAGGTGTTCTCAGCAAACTTGTCGAATTTGAAGCGAAAAAACTTGGAATGATACAAAGAGGCCAATTAAGGGTCCCACTCTGTTTGTTTGAGTTCCGCGGTACCGTGATACCGAGGTCGCCCTTCTTGATCGCGATATGCCCGACAAGGTTGGGGTTTGTTGGGTTCCTCCTCCTTGGTTTTCAATACTTTTTTAAGCTTCATAGTCCAAAACAACCCCACCGCCTTGCTGGAAGACCATAAAATTGTTCTCTTCGGGGTAGCTGCGGAATAGTGTCTCATCCACAGACAGCATTGGAATATCTGGCAGGGTCTGGCGGGTACAGGGTACCTCTGCAAACTGATTCAAATTCATAGCATCCCTGCAATGAATAATTTTGTGAAGCAATCAGATATCCTAACTCCATACTAGGGGTGTGCTAAGTGGGCAGCCTCATCAGGGATTGAAAGTTATCATACTGTAGAACGCTCAGGTCGTGTAGTATTAAAATGAACTGATCAAGTTTTGGAAGCCCAACCTTGAAATGGGACAACAGCTGGCTCATCCGGTTATGGAGCATAAGCAGGGATGAACGTGGCTGTTCGATTACCCAAGTGCCATTCAAGGCAACTGTAAGCAAACAAAGGAGAGCCACCCTAGACAGGGATAGCGCCGAAACAACAGTTTCACCCAGAATGCAAAACATTGGTTGAATCGAATGTGGTGTTGCAACTGAACAACCTTTTAAACATCACCGCCTACATGCCATTAGGTTGGCAAAGGACACGCAGTCTGATTCCAACAGTCCGTGTGGGTTAGCTGCTGATCTCCCTGTGCTTCCTCGTGAAGTTGACACCCATGTACTGCATTGAACCCCAAGCCAATGAATAAAGCCGCTTGGATCTCCACGTAGAATTGCCACTATGGCTGCCCTTGGGGTGAAGATTTCCACCAATGATGTTGCCCAATAAGTAAAAACATCCAGTTTACCCCAAATTCAAAATGAAATGCCACATTTTGGTGATCGGAAAAATATGCGCTTTAAACCATGCAAAGGTCCCCATACCACTATTGGTGTTTATATCCAACTTCTCTGAAAACTTGACATCGATAGCAGCGGTGACCTTCCCCGGGAAGCTTGATTGCACGCTGCGGGTCGCCTGAGCTTGTCCAGCAAAGCTTTCGAGGAAGAACAGGGGCTCCTGAAGGTTGGCCAAAGAGATTTTAAAAATTCAACAGGGACTGGGATAACGTTTTATTTAGTTGGGAGTTGCTATTCCAAAAGATTGCAGACTGCATTGCTGCTTTCATATGTGTGCATGAGTGTGTGGTGGATCAAGCAACAAAAACACCCCATGTCTCTTCTAATGATGTCTTTTTTCCTACAGATCCCATCAAACAAACAGTGTATTGCACATGCCTCCATCCTTATCAATGGAAGGCTGTTTGCACCACAACTTGTTGTAAGTCTCAAACGGATGATGTTCTAGATGTAGGATGGGCTCCCATTGCCATCCCTAACAGCCGATAACCCCAGCACCAAGTGATGCCTGGCTGTGCACGTTGATGGATGGATTCCACAGCAGAAGCAAGCAAGCGAAGGCCAGTACCTTGGCCAAGAGACCGGTGACGGGGCCATCAATGATAGATCCCGAAAACTCATCAAATTGGAAAGAATATGTTCGAGTACCTAGGTGCCTACAAAAGCCAGATCATGAATGGGTCTAATGGTACACTTCAAGGGGCTTTTGGCGCTTGGAGGTTGTGCAAACGTCGAACGACTTGGTCAGCAGTCCACATGGGAAGTGGGTCTAGATCAAGACTACAACGTCCAAATGATAGCCACGCCTCCTATATACAAACAGAATTGTTTCAGCTCCGCTTTGATGCTAGATAGCTGCGATGGCACCCATGGTTGAAACCGTTTGAAAAAACAATTACATTGTCTCACGCGTGGCCGGGACGGCCCGTCAGAGCACAAAAAGAATCAAACATTTTATATTTTGTTTCTTTGGCACTTATTTCAAGAAATGGAAGCATGTCCATCGAAGGTGACGGTGACCGGCTTAAACATGCCAATCCCACGAGATTCATTCAAGAGCCCCAATTTGGCTTCCCGCTTGACTCCTCGAAGCTCTTTCATGTTGCCTGCAGGCATGGCAGATTCAGTTGGAGGAAAAAGGACCAAGGGCATGTTGGACAGCTGGGGCTAGGGTGGAAAACAAATTCTTTACGGTAAAAAGGGCAAGCAACTGATCACCAAATCACTGGACTGTTTCTTTTGAACCCTTTCACGGAAATGTCACGGCAATTGACGGAAATGTCACTTCATGGCCACAAGGTAGGATGTATTTCCTACGGCACTGTTGGCTTCGGTCCCTTCGGTCCCAAAGATTCTCTAACTCACCAGTCCCCCCCGGATGATGAAAGCAAGGATTGTTGTTGAATGCTGGAAGGATAGAGTCGATGAATCGGAACCCAACATGTTTATGACAGCCAAGACACCATCTCTATGGGGAAACTGGCGTCCCCAGTTGGAATGGTCCCAAGAAGGCGGCCCGACAAAATGTCCATACGCCACATGAGTCAGTGACTAAAGCGCACTAGCCCTAGAAAGCCAATGGACTCCCACAAATGGGCGCCAACTTTCAAAAGTTGATCCTAGGTCCTTGATCACTCGACATCCTCAGGAATCGCCGGCTTAGCGCCATCATCATCACCAGGATTGGCCTCGCCATCTGCGGGCCTGAGTGGCCAAGTGGGTAAGAGAGTTGAGAATGGAGAGATGTGATCGGATTGCTCGCTATCTCAAGGCCAACAGAAGAGCAAACATGATCAATAATACAAAAAAGAAAGCATGTGAAGACCAAATGCAAAACCAAGATGCGGCGGCTTATTCCACTCCTGGAAGAAATTTGCCACTGCAGTGTCGATGTAGGAAAAATCGTTGGCATCAGAGCTGCCGCTCGCCTTCTTCGCGGACTGGACAAGGCTGCAGAATTGCAACTGCCAGGGTTGTGGGCATCAGCCTAGATGTACATGAGTGGGCTGGGAATTTATCCCTTTTACTTTTACACATGTTCTGTACACGTTTATCCATGTGGGCCCATCTTTTGGCACCGAGTTTTGGAAAATATTGCTTCATCCCTTGAATATAAAAGAAATGGAATCGAAATCAAAACGATGTTCCTGCTTGAATGTATGGCTTGAAAATGTGTGGTCGATCCAAGCCTGGGCTTTGTTCTTGGTCCTGGGTTCCAACTTCGCTTCGATGTTCTCCTTGAATGCTGCGGCTGTGCGGGCGTACTTGTCAAGTGCCCAGCCTCCTGATGGCTTGGCCCTGCCCCCAAAGGTGTTGGGAACCAGACCTTTCCTTTCCAAATCCTTGACAGCGGGGGAAGAGGAATCTGCAGGTGCTGCATTGCCAGACTCAGTCTTGGCCTTCTTGGATCGGGACGAAGTCTTGGCCGAAGGTCTCTTCTTGGCAGGTTGCGCGTTCTCCTTCTCACGGCCGGGAAGCGAAGTGCAAGAAGCCGAAGGCATCTTCGGAGGCGATGGTGGTGCAGGTGGAAAGCCCAAAGCTTCTGGCACACCAGGAGGGAGAGGCTGCAAGACATCATCAATGGAGATGGGAGGGTTCTTGCCGGTGGCCCTGGCCCGTGGCGCAGCCTTGGCCTTGGCTTTCCCCTTCCCCTTCCCCTTCGCTTTGGCTGCTGCTCTTGACTTGGCTTTGGCCTTGGCAACTGCCTTAGCTTTCGCTTTTGCAGTTGCCCTGGCCTTAGCCTTGCCTTTCGCCCTGGATTTTCTCTGAGGTTTTTTCTCACCGTTCCCCTTCCCACTCTTCTCCTCCTTGGCCTTGGCCTTTGCCTTCGCTTCGGCTGTCAACTTCCATTGCTCATCTTTGGTCACTGGCGCCTGTGCAAGGCAAGATTGAGAAAAATTATAGCTGAGGTCGGTTGAAACTTAACATTATGAATAAATTGTATAAAACACAGGGAAAAGACGTACACCTGGGGGAAATGAGGTCATAGCATTTACTTTCGTCTTATGCCGAATCATTCATCATGTCTTGAAGATTTTGAAAACCAGTAAGATCAGGAGCATTTTCTTGGCTGGAAAGTTTGGACAACCGGGCCTCCTTGTCTGGAGAGATAGGTGGCAAGTCCTCACTTCCACCCTCAAGTTTGTTGGCCACCTCCTCTGTCCCGCGGTCGGGCTCTGCCATTGGCACTCCCACCTCAAGCACAGAGTCAGGAATGCAAGTGTCAGGCAAAGATTCCAAATTGATGTTCGATGGGATGACAAGGTCATCAGCTTCCTCAAGCTCAGGCAGCTCAGACACAGTAGAGCCACCTGCTGGTGCCAAGGCATCAGGCGAAGTGGCCGAGGTGGTGGACACAGATCCTCACAAGGTCTTGAAAATTCAGAATGATGTTTAAAAGTAAGCTTTTGTCCACACAAAAAATAATGTCTCTATCAGACTACCGATGCGGTCTTGAGGAAAGAAAGCGATCAGCTAATCCAAGCTTATCCTATGCCAGGCCGTGTTTGTTTGAAACTCAGTGTCCTGGTCCGGCTGAGCCTGTTGACCCAGCAGAGCCCCCAAACAGCGCATGAACTTCGGATTGGCTCTTTGTCGGCCTGGTCAGCTGGCCGAGTTTGGCTTCCATCTTGAAAAGCAGGTTCGAGTAAGTGGCAAGCTCCTCCTGCTTGGATCGGGTGGGATGTCGTGCTGGAGAGGTCGCATCCTCGATGTCCGAGTCACCAATCACAATGGCATCCCACTGCTGGAGCAAATTGGTGTTCTTCGGCAGGGCTGCATGGGCCAGCATGCCATCGAACTCCTGACGCTTGAGGTTTTGAAGTTCACTAGGATCAAGCTGGCTAGCCTCTGGGTCGGCCAGCTCCGAATCCTCGTGCTTGTCCTGATTCTTCATGTCAGCACTGGTGCGGTGGAGGACAGGCGGGGTGTCGCCCAAGAAATCATATTCCCACATAGGTTGGGTCAGTGGCAATTCCATGGCGCAGTCAATGCCAGCCTGGGTGTCGATCAGAAACTGAAGTGTGTCCATGTCATCAGTGCTCTTCGCCCTGGCAAGACCACCTGCGCACGGGTGTGCAACTTCAGGCTCATTGCAGGTTGGAACAGCAGCAGCCGCCATTGGTGAAGGTGGGTCAGGCTCATCATGGGGAGCCCCAGGCGCTTCAGATTCACCGTCATCCTCAGGTACGTTCAGCAAAGCCTCCAAAGGTGAATAGTCAAGATCCAAGGCTTCCCCTGTGGGCTCTGGTGCTTTGAGCCCAGCCTCCTGGAAAGGGTAATGTTTGAAACTTTTGCAGAGATTTGATTTGCCTGCGGTCTGTGAAAAACAATCAACTCTGACAACAGCACAAGGGTGAAATGTATCTCAAACAAAGAAGACACAATCATCGATTGATAAGCCATGTCCTTCATTCGCCGAAGGTATGCCTCCCTCAGAAGTCTGAAAGTCTCTTTCAGCTCTGTGTCCTTGGTGAGACAAGTGTTGAAGAAAATGGTGTGGAACATGTATGAGGCAACCTCCATGATGAGTCTTCAGGACTAATGTGTTCTTTGCTGGGAGCTCTCCAAAAATAAAAAAGTGGTGGTTTCATGGGTTTTCACCATAATCAGAGACATTTTGCTTGAAAACTTGCTATCGCAAAAAAGGCAAGGATCTCTAGAAGACTGGTATTTTGGCAAACTGCTCCGGAGCCGGGAAACCATCTTGTGAAGGACCCAAGCGTTGTTGTAGGACACCGCTTTGAGGTTGAAATCCTTGTTGACTTCGGCGTAGAGCGGGTGCATCTCATAGAACTTGACCGTCATTGAACAGATCACGTCAATGGGGTCTGCGCCGCAACGGCCTCTCTGGTTCATGTTGGCAGCCAAAGCTTCAAGCAGCTCCGCGTTGTGAATCATGTTCTCACGAGTTGGCAAAACGGTTTTGCCATCAGTATCTTCGCTGCCCCCCTTGGCGACAACAAGGTGTTTCAGCACCCTAGCCCTTTCCTGGACTTTGACCAAACCAGTCCATGCTGTCGCCACAGCGCTGGCATCAGAACAAACTGGCCCATCAATGAACCCTTTTGGTGGCATGACCCTGGTAGCGACCGAGGGAAACAACAGATCAATGAATCTAAGATATCCTTTGGGCCAAAACAACCAGCAATTTAGTGTTAAGAAACAGTGGCACGAGTGGTGAGGTTGGATATCGTAGAACGGCGTGAGATTGATTGGCCAACCAGGGAAATGCAGCACAAGAAACACACAAGAGGGGATGGGCCACGCTCAGGCCTTAAATTTGCTGATTTCTGTTTGTGAAGAGCCAATGTTTGGCAGTTTTTCCTCACCCAAAACAGCCCTTGCAGGCCTCGTCATCTGGTGTCAGATGGATTGACACACCGCCAGCATCGACGCAAGGGCAACCAGGGCTCGTGAGACCAAATGGATCCAAATGGGAAAAAGCAAAAGAAATGTAGGGGCATAAATTAAATACCAATTGGTATGTTTCATCCAGCAAATCTCTGAAATCATCACAGTTCTCAAATGGAAGTGGAAATGGTAAAGACCATTTCCTGCCCTTTGTTGATAATCGACCAAAATTTGACCACTATGATATGATGAAATAATGACGAGTGCTGCGCTATGCTACGTCCAATCTGTGGACATCGTCCACTGCCATCTTGTTCTGTCCTTTTCTTGCTTCAGCCTTGTTAGAAACCAACCCAGCATCACCGGAAAGGATAAAACCATGAATTCAAAAGATCAGGATGATGTGCCTCAGTAGCTCAAGTGAGAGATCTTTTTTTTTTGATTGGTTCCTGTTTCTGGTAGAGACTAAAAAAAAAACATCGAAGATTGAGCTAGGTATATATACAAGCATTATGTTCAGTTCCCCCAGCCAGATTCGTATAAGTGGAATTAGGCCTTAGAGAGATCTATGACAAAGCTGGTGCCTCATCCAAAGTTCTCCATGAAACCAGTTGAGTTCACCTTTTGCATAATGCCCCTGATGTACAAAGCTTTTGTCTAATTTCATTGAAACAAAGCTATTTGTTGAGATTGGTTGGACATGTTACGATCAAAACCAGTACTTCCTGGATCCGTATAGTTTCTCCGGTAAACACACATGGTTTTAACCGGACATGTTCCCCTCAACGTTTCACTGCAGGCCCTTCGCATCGGCTTCCCGTCCAAAGTGACGGCAGAGTTGAGACAGCACACCCTGCTGGCACAAGCTGAGGAGCATCCCTTGAAGCTCGGTGAAACGTGAAACTCTGAGGTGACGGAGTACAGTTGAGGCTAGGTTATATATTGGTTATACATTAATGTTGGTTATACATTGGTTATATATGGTTATATGAGTTATATGTATTAATTAATCATTGAAAACAAGGCAAGTATAGACACTATAGAATGTGTAGACTATAGTTCCGTACTGGGATGATTCAGAAAGCTAGGTAAAGCATTGGTTGATTAGATTGATTATATAATGATAATTAATAATAATAATAATGATAATAATAATAATATTATATATTGTAGTTGATTTGATCATGTTTGTTTTCCGCTTTGATGGACAGAAGACAAGCAAAACATGAAAAAAAACACTGAAACAAATTTGATGAGATGGAAACTCCCAAGACTAAGATGAACCCTGATCGATCCTAATAAAGCTTCATTTCAAAAGAACATCATCCGAAGCATTTGTTTGTGGCCCAGTGTTAACGAGTCAGAAGCTTGATGTCATGCTTTACCCAGACCACTCATCTTCCAGACACTACCAATCCAACTTATGCGGCTGAAAGGTGTGACCAGATGGTATCTGGTACAAATGCATTGCTATGTTTGTATAGATGGAAAAATATGAGCTTTTGCCTTTAAACTGTTGGTGGAGGATGTTTGTTTGCTGCTTTGGAATAAGGCGATCCTTGCCCTCTGATTAGCTAACGTAGACGTAGCTATGGAAATCACAAGTTTAATTAATAATTAATAGATAGGCAAATCAAATTTCATAAATCATCTATTATAAATAGGACATGTTCAATAGCTATCTTAGATCACCAGATGGTAGCTGATTTGGAATAAGGCGCTCCTGGGATAGACACTGAACCCTTGGCCCTCAGGAATGCCAAGATCGAGGAGACGTGCGGAAACCTGATTTTTGCAGGAAACTGATTCTGGATTTTGTCACCGGCAATGTTTATATTTTATTCATGTTACCATCAAAAAGAGCAAGTTGACCTTCAAAAAGGATTTGGAATGGAATTCTATCAGCAAAAACAACATGGATGTTATTCATGTACCTGGCTCTTTTGCAAGCAAAAACTGGGGGGTTATGAGCAAAACTAAGAATTCCGCGACGGCGAGGGGAGTCCAGCGGATCTCTAGCTGAGGCGAGACGCTTTGAGTCAGGTGAAGAACGCCTTGTACTCAGGAGCCACAAAGGTTTTTGTTTTTGGTGGGGCTGGGTGAACATTAAATGAATGGACAGATCTGGTATTTCCATTATATATATAAACATATAACCTAATACTATATATATATATATATATATGTATATATATATATATATATGATCGGCTGTTGATTGAGGAAGTGGTTTATTCTTCCGATGGTTTGCGTTTGCCAAGAAAATAGGGATGCTTTGCGTAGTCTCAAATCTTTTTCCAGCTCGCCGCCGGGCTTTGCAGGACAGCTGAAAGGCAAAGGGAAAGGCTTAGCACATCGTGACATCTCCTTGCACGTCAGGGATATCCAGAAGTTCGAGCAGCAGGCCGTGAGGTTCCCCATTGCACCATATATGGGCCATGGAAAATACCTCTGTTGATGGGCCTCTGTTGATGGGACAAATATGGGGGGCTATACTAACTGGTTCATTGGGGATTTTCACAACTCATAGATTCATAATAGAACTAGTATACTAACCAACATATTGGGATGGGATAGGGGTATTTTTCATGGCTCATGAGAAGGTTCCAAAGTTTTCTCCCGCGAAGAATCTCAACAACACAAAGCGACACACAAAGATCATGTTGAAGAGATTGCCAACAATTCAAAACTTGAACACCATATCTTTAAAGTACACATCCGCTGCCCCAACCATCCACAAATTATGCGTTGGCATCAGTTGTCATCCAAACAAAACAAGCAGAAACCCCTCAAACCAATCAAACTTCTTGTAATCAAGCATGGCTTCCTGGAAGCCTCCCATTTGTTCGATGACACCTACCCACTGAATCTCCAGCGACTTCCTGCAGGTCAGCGACGAGCTGATCGACGCAGCAGAAGTGGTGTGTTCCACGCTGATTGGCTGTGGTCGCCTGGCCAATTTGCGACTGTGGGAGGTTATCTGCAGAAGTCATGAGTGTCATCATATTTTAGCAACATGCAATAGGATTGAAGTGAAGAATGATTGTGAATAATGATTGTTCACTGGATTCGCATGATTGTTCACTTCATGCAACAATAGGATTGAAGTGAAGAATGCAACATTTTGCACGTTCGAGGTTGCGATGCTTTGCTCCAAAGTTCCTTCGACACGGTGCTTTGGCAATTGTTGTGGTTTCCAGCTGTTCTCATTACTTTCTGGATCAGCGGCAAATGATCTATTGCACGTTTGTCTAAGCGGAACTTTTGTCCATTGCCACGCTATAAGGATGATTATTTTCTCATGGTTGTGTTTAAATGTTGTAGGACTGTCTTATCCACCTCGTAATATCCCTATAGAATGTAGCAACCCCGGTGCCATTTTTCGGGTCATTGCAAAAGACCCCCCCCTTAAAAAATCGGGATCACTTTTGGATACTTTTGGGGGGTTCCTTATATATAATGTGAAAACTCAAAATTTGCGACTTCCATTTCAGAAGGGTGCTGGTGTTTTTAATATTTTTTAAGGGATTATGAAATGACATGAAATGACTATGTAATCTTGGTCACTCGAAAGAAACTCAACCCCGGGTCACCTTCTCACTATATATATATATATATATACTGTATATGTTGTTGAATGTTTTTGATATGTTTTTTTTTCGTATCATCTGCAAAAGATGAGAAACCCGTACCCCCAAAAATGTTTGGAATTCTCATTTTATACAAATGACATTTTTGAAATTTTATACGCCCGGTTGTCATTTTCAAAGTTATTTTTGTAAAATGGAACCTCCCACGTTCCCGGCAATATTACGAGGGGGATACTGTAAGCAAAGATCATTTGGGGCGAGATGCCCCTGCTAAGCATTACGGACAATCTCATTCTAGTTTGGTCAATGGGCTTTCGTTAAATGCCAATACAATATAGGATAATATGATAATATAGGCAGTATATGGCAGTATGATAGACCCAAACATTTCACTTTGGTCCCTTCAGTCATCTTGCTGGTTATGTCAACATGTTCGTTGATTTATTCCACGTACTTGTTGGTGAAACTCTGATGTTTGTTGGTCAAGTCCCTAGGGCCCTAGGGTCGTGTGGTGCACCATGGTGCACCGCTCCACAGGTCATCATCGATGAAGCCTCGCAAGCCACGGAACCGCGATGTTTGGTGGCCTTCCAGTGGCTTGGATAACGGGTACGATGGCACGATGGCACTGGTCTCTGAGGTTTGACCAATGAATTCCTTGGATGGCCTGGATGTAGATTGCCAGTTTTAGATGTAGATGCTTGGAATTGTTTGGACTTGTTTGGATAATTACTTATATAATGTTTTTGGCTGCTTGTTTGGGGTGTCTGGATTTTGCATATTTTCACAGTCTAAAAGGCAAATTAAGTTGACAGCTCCTCAAGTGGACAGAATCGCAACCTGAAATGGCAATGGTTACACCACATTGGAGGCTGGTGTGGTTTAATATGGTTTAGATGATGATTAATACCTGGGCCAACCTTGGATGCTTCAGTATGTTTCACAATGCTTTTGCTACAAATGGGGCCGAAATTGATCAGTTAGCACAAGATCTCACATGGAACCCAACAAGGGCCATATCCATGTTTTTTGGTTACTACCCCATAGATTCTGATTGATTAGAAAGCCCCGGAATAATGATGAATTGTTTATCTTGAACCGGCAAAGAACACGTCAGATTGCTAGTTAGTTCTATATTGCAACTCATGATGCCCTCATCACTTTATCGAAGATTCGTGAGTCATATATAATATATTTCATATAAATACAATGTGTATCTATATTGATGTGTTTTCCTCTAAAAGGCTAACAATCATCAACCAGGTATGTTTCGTTTGAGCCGCTGCTCCTAGCTTTGCTTGGCAAGGAAGGCCAAAAAGCAATTCATCCTCGTCGGGGATCAGAAGCAGCTGCCCCCAGTGGTGCTGTGTCAAGCTGCGGCCGAGAAGGGCCACTTGCTTCGGATGGGCTAGACCCAGGGTGTCCTGGATGTGGAGAATTCATAGGGCCAAAGAACTCTATGCTCTAAGTGTGAGATCGAATATGTTGGAAAAAATGTTCTAAGTGACTGCCTGTCAGTATTCAGAAAAATTGGATAAACATCTATAAATATGAGGGTTTTCAATATGTTTAAATACGGTAGGAAGGAGGGAGAGAGAGAGAGATAGATAGATAGATAGAGAGATAGAGAGATAGAGAGATAGAGAGATCTGATTTCACCAGCAAAATATGGACCTTTACCTATTTGATTCACCATTGTAATTCGGGAGAAAGCACAGCGACTTCACGGGCCCAAATTTGCGGACGAAGGGTTTGGGATTTATAGTTTGGCCGTAGCGTGAAGTTCAATGAATTCAATGGGAAACTACTTGCCAATGATAGGAATGCAAGAGCTAAATCCCATTGAATCATAGAAGGTGGGGCCCCCGACATTGGGTCGTTGGAGTCGTTGCCAAGGTCTGCAGGATTCGCTATTTGATCGGCTTTTAAATTCACCCAGCCTCTTCAATCGTGAGATTAACATGTTGCAGGTGCCGAAGGAGGGATCGGAATGGAGAGGTTTCTGTCCAGTGCAGGGAAGATGTTGAGCTTTGGGTTTGATTGCAGCTATGGCCCGAAATACCAGTTATAAGTACTTGTAACCCCATTTATAGATTGTATAATCCCATTTATAACCAGTTATAAGTTATAACTAATAGCCATGGCCATAACTGTGACTAAAGGAACCAGCGAGAATTCTGCAAACCATTCGGACCACAAGGAAAAACCATGTTTCATCTTCAATCCAATCGCTTCAAATCGGGGACACCATAGATTTGCCACAAAAATGGACCGTTTTAATATGTTTTAATCTTCATTTGGAAAATTTGGAAATGTGTCACTAGGGTAACTGAAGCTTTGATCTATTCAGCTTGAAACTTTGACCATGTTTTCAGATGTGGTTTAGTTGGGTTCCTGAATTGGGTCAAGGGAACATTTTCTGATACACCATTGTACAATGTTGTACATCACCATACCATGACTGAAACCGACTGGGTGTTCTTCAAAATTAATCTCGTAACCTGACCCAAATATTGATCATAAAGTCATAAATGCGTATCAATGGTATAAACAACTATATACATCTATATTCTATATGATGGTTCTATGCTATGTCTATATAGCAGGGTGAATCCCTCGTTTTGTTGTTTGAGATGCCCTGGACGTGTTGTTTGCAGGTGCAATACCGCATGCATCCGCTGATTCGAGAGTGGCCCAGCCTTCAATTCTATGGTGGAAAGCTGCAGGCCGCGTCGGGGGAGGGCGCAGGAGATTTCGGATCGGCCAATTTCGGATCCACCAGGGGTCGAACATAGTCTAAAACTACATAGACATATATCTGGTTGGTGGTTTGGAACAGCCACGTTGCCCAAGTGCCTCCCAGCTGGTGTGGCTGGCATCACCGAACGTTGGGCCGTCTGTTCTTCCATTTTCTGCCATGGCTAGCGTATCCTACCCCATGGATATTTCGATGGTTGATGAGGGGAAGCACCTTACAGTTGTGGTATCACTAGTGGTCTTCGATCCTTCGCATGAATCGCACGTTGTTCGTCTTCAACATTCTGGGATTGCATGCAGGTATACTGGTTTGTTGGAAGGGGGATTTCAGACTTACACGATCTGTGATGCTGTGATGGGGAGACAGTTTCCTATGCCCTTAATGCATTGTGATGAGTGCACCAGGGTTCTCAATCATGCTCCTCCGTCATGGGTGAATATGAGAAAGATGGTGGATGGTTGTTGCGGGATTGGAGGAATTGCCCATGGCGCCCAAGCTGTAGGCATTATGACCACTGTTTCGGTTGATTTGAATGTGCATATGACTGAGCTTCACCAACTTCATTCATCTTCTGAAGTAGTTGTTGGGGACCTTGGAGACATCGATGTCATCAAGCAGGTTGGCCAAAAGTCGGATGGTGCGAAAATCCTTTGCTCAGGCTTCAACTGCCAACCATTCTCCTCTTTGGGGGATGGATTAGGAGGTCGTGACCCCCGTGCTCAGTCTTTGCCCAAAACATTGCAAGCTGCCTACTACTTACAAGCCCGTGTTGTTGTGCTTGAATGCGTCATTCCAGCCAGGGATGATGGTTTTGTCACACAATCGATTGATCACTTTTTGAAGGTGACGGGTTTTCGCAAAGAGCAGATTGACTTGCACTTGCATGATGTGTGGCCGTGTCGGCGGTCGAGAGCATGGTGGGTGTTGTATGACCCCCTTTTGGGTGAACTTGGGTTGCAAGGATGGCCTCATTTGATTGACATTCCTGCAGTGAAATGTTTGATTCCGTATATCTCCAAATGGGATCCCAGGGATGAGTTGGCATTAGGGTTGGACCGCACTGAGTGTTGTGCTTTTGGGGTTGATGATGGAAGCTACCCTAGGTTTCTTCTTTCCTCGGAAGGCATTGCCCCTACGGCTTTACATGCATGGGGATCACAGTTGAGAGCTTGTCCATGTGGATGTCGCCATGCTGCCTTGTCTGACCGTCGCCTGTCTGAGAAGGGTCTTTTTGGTCTCCTTGTCCAAAGTCAGTCTGATGTCTTGCCCAGTCCAAGCATCCGGCATGTTCACCCTAATGAGGCGTTGGCTTTGAATGCCATGGATTGCACCATTGATTTTGGCCTGAATGTCCGATTAACTCTTTCAGGGGTGGGGCAAATTGCTAGCCCGTTGCAGGCTGCCTGGGTCCTAAGCTTTGTGATTGCCAGATTGGACGTCTTGTGCCATGGAAGTTGCTCTTTCACCCCTGAAGCTCAATTGTTTGCATTCCGGTCATGGCTTTTGATGAAGTGTCAGCTTACCTGGCCGTGTAATGATTGCATGATTCCTGATGTCAAAATGCGTGAACTGGTAAGTTTTTGGCAGGAGCATTCCAGTCTGTCTCTTACCCAAGTGGTTCATTCGTCCTCATGGGAGAATCTGCCGGTCATTGACTTGACCATTGCTGCAGTGCTTGATCATATTATCCGAACTTGCTGTCAACCTGATCCAAGATGGGTCTTGCCGCCTGTTGATGAGCCTGAGACACCGTGGATTGATGAAATGATTTGTGATCCAAAATGTGACTTTGCCCTCAATGTTGGAGTCTCCACCATTTCATTGATTGACACTGATGGGTCATGTTGTGAAATTGGTTTCGTTGCTGGCACGACAGTCTCTGATTTTCTGGAAGCCCATGGCAAACTCAATGGTCCCTTTCGGGTTGCCTCTGTTGCTGACGGATTAGGATTGTTTGTCACCCCTTCAACAGTAATCAATCGTGGACAGCAATTTCAGGTCTTTCTGGCACAGGGTGACTCAGGAACATGCTATCCGTCTGATTGCTTTCTCATGCGAGCAGAGCCACAAATTGAGCCTGTGGAGGACTTGTCAGTTCGAGATCCTGCTCCTTTGGCTGCTTCGGTTTGCAGTGAAGTGGGCCAACCTGAAGTATCATGGGAATCCGGGCCACTCCCTAAATTGCCCGAGGGTCAGATTTCTCAGCATGATGCCATTGCTACCATTCCTGATTCTTCTTGGTCGCCCCACCCCAGTAGTGATAACAGAGTAGTGGCTTTAGCATACACCCCTGAGTGTGGATCCCTTAGCACAGCCTCAGCCTTACTTGCTTTGACTGAGCAGCAGTTTTTGCGCCTGACAATGCCATGTGTGGAGTCCGTGTCCAAGCTTGCGACTCTTCGTAGCCAGATGCTGAAATCCGATGATCGACTGAAATTGCTTGATGTCCAGCACTGCCTCTGGTCGGATGATGAAGTTTCCTTTCATTTGAATCATGTCATGGTGCAATTGCAACAGTCCAGTGTTGATCAAGAGCAGCCTGTTTTGCCAGTGATCATTGATCCCATTCTCATGAGCGCATGGTTGCATGATTGTGGATTTCCGATTGCTCAGTGGGCAATTACCCACCCTGAAATTTTGCAGCAAAAGATTCAAGTGATTGGGATGGGGTGTCTCAATGGACATTGGATTCCTTTTCAAATTGTGCCATGTGGTTTTCATGCCAACATTTTCACGTGGGATTCACCTCGACATGACCACGGGAAATTGAATCGCATTTTGGAAGAGATCACATCACAGTTGGGTTTCTCCACTGCACTGATCAACCGTCAGCATCGGATGTTCTTTGATTCAGGTCGGTGTGGGGCTTTAGCAATTCATTTCCTTCATAATGTGGTTAATGGCTCTATGCTCCCGATCTCCCAGGAAGAAGCGCAAATTGTCCATGAAACTCTCAGGCATAAATTTGCGGAAGCAGTTGCGTTGACTGAGTTTGTCGTCCGACCATGGATCTGGGGTAGTGGTGATCAAGACAGTGATTCCGCGTCATCTGTTGCTGATGTTGATGTTGCCATACAAGGGGAATGTAGGCTACTCCCTAGATTGCCTACCGAGAGTCATAACATGCCATTGACATTGATTCCTGGGCCGGGTGATCTCTCCCCTCCTATTGATGGTGGGGACATGGTGCTGCCGACAGGTGACTTTCGTGGATGGGAAATCATTTCCGGTTTGCTGGGTTTGCCCCCCTTCACGGCTGATCCTCGAGAATTTGGACCGTTTGACATTGGCATTTGTCCTCCGAGGTGCTTTCCATTTGTTATGTCCTCTCAAGTCCGAGAATTTTTGCAGATGGATGTCCAACAACTCTTGACCTTGCCAATTCCGAGGGTTACTGACCCCTTTTCACTTTGGGGACTTCGGCACCAAATCATGTTTGCCGCTGATCGGCTCTTCAAGCTGCCATTTCAATATGGGGTATGGGCCGATGATGAAATCCGTTTTCACCTTCAGTTGCTTCGCACAACGTATGCCAGAGAACTTTCTGATGGAACGGTTTTGGTTCTTGATCCCTTGATCATTTCGATGTGGCTGGACCCTTTGTCATGTGCTTGTGAAAGCTGGGCGAGAATGCATCCAGAAGTTTTCACGGAGCAACTCACTGTCATTAGTGTAGTGTGCGTTGACCACCATTGGGTACCAGTCATTTTGCTACCGAGTTCTCAGCAGGTTTGCATTGTCACGAGTGATCTTGCTCAGTTTGTTGCCCCAACGTTGATCAATGTTCTTCACCGGGTTGTGGTTTCTTTGGGGTTCACTGACATTTCTTTTGATCATGATGCACGAGGATTCAGTTGTCAGTCTGTGTGTGGTGCCATTGCCATCAACTTTCTTCAGCACAGGCTCCTTGGGCTTCCTAAAGCTGAAACATATGCTGCTGCCTGGGGTGCCCATGCGGTGTTTCGCCACCAATTCACACAAATGTTGTTGGCTGCGGATCGTGTTCCCTGCCCTTGGATCTGGGCGTCCGGAGTTGATGACCAATCAGAAGCTTCCGAAAAATCATGGCGTTCCGATGATGGTGACGGTGATGCTGCATCATCAAATCAACCTGCACAGCATTCACCTGCACCTGCAAACGTTCAGAGCTCCCATGCATGCATTCCCATTGATGTGCGATTGGATCTCTTGAAAGAACATGGCACCGCCATGGGTGATGATGAAATCCGTTTTCACTTACATGCCTTGCAAACCCAAAAAGTCAAGGACATTGCAGCCAATCGAGGAAACATTCCTGGGGTTGTGTGCTTTGAAAGTTTGAATTTCCTGCAATGGGATGATGTGGGTCACATCTTGACCGAGAAATGGTGCCTGGGTTTCCCCCAAGTGAAACAGTTTGGATATCAGGTCATTGGTGCAGTCTTGGAAGGAGATCATTGGCTCCCGTTGTGGATTGTTCCGGCTGGGTTGGTTCTTGTTGTTCACACGTTTGATGATGTGATTGACTATGACATCTTTGATGGGAAGTTGCGATGGCTAGGCCTGCACTTGGGATTTGGTGAGGTTGTCATACATCGTGTGCCCAATGGATTGCCTTCGCATAACATGTGTGGTGCCCATGCATTGGCCTTTCTTGCTCACATCTTGTTGGGATCGCCGTTGCCAGAAACAGTAGAAGACCTTGACACAATGAGGGTCAACATGAGAGCGTCATTTGTCCAAGCGGTGTATGAAGGAACAACCTGCTTTTGCCCAATTGCGTGGGGCTCAGGGGGTACTGGCTCCCTGGTTAAATCCCTGTCAGCTGAACTTGTTGCTCATGGAGTCCCTTCTGAATTGGCAGAGCAGCGTGCCTCCCAGGCCATTCGGGCAGTTGGTAGTGATCAGCTGCTTCAAGCGTTGCAGGCCAAAAACCCATGGCGTCAACTTAAGGCACTTGCCAACAATGTGAACTTTAAGTTTGTCTTG